CTGTCCCTAATTGTGCTGGATGACATCATAATGTTGCTAAATTGAAAAGGCAATAGAACAAAAGGTATGACCATGTGATCTCTTGTTGCAGTGGAACTAGAAATGTATTTATTTTGAATTATTACTAACATTTTCACCCTACATATGTTCACAATATATATTTATGAACAAATTTCCTTTGCTGTGTTTTCCTAGAAACTTCAGAGAAGTAATTACTTAAAATATCCAGACTGTAATTAGATTCATGGAAGTATTTGATTGAGCTTGTAAATGTCTCACACACCAGAACACTGTACAACTAGAGATAGAGTTTCACATTCTGTTTGATGTTCAGGGCTCACATCAATGGTATTAATCATTCTCTGTCGCTGAAAGGTGCTGCCATAGACATGACTGCTGTTATGACTTTGCACAACGACAAGGCTGTCACCCCATAACAGACAGATATAAGTGGACTTGTCAGGACAATACTGTGATATGCGGTAAGGTACAACCTGAATGTCATTATTTTTATATACCTTATCTTAGAGTGGCACAAGTACATACAGATATTCTAGATGTGAAAGGTTCAGCTTTAATTTCAGAAAGTCCTATTGGTTTTTGAGAGATCTTTGAAGATTCAAAACACTGTTCTAGGCAGACTGTTTTAAACAACTTTAATACTAACACAATATCTCATAGTTGCCTGAAGATTCAGCTTATAAAAATACAATGTAATAGTAATTGAATTAAACCTTTCTCTGGGTTAAAAGTGATTGTGAAAGGATATTGATTTTAATGTTGGATATTTTAATTAACTCATTCAAATGAGGTTTGACCAACAACAGTAGTATACTGCTAAACTGTTTTTGTTTTCATTTTGCTAAGCATGGTGCTAGGACATGCTTGTCCTTTTAGCCAGGCCACTATTGGGCTAGAAAGTTCATACGTATGATCTTAACTTAAAGCAGTTTCAAACTTTGTGTGGAGATTAGTGGTGAGAAAATGACTGTATTGAATATTGAATACAGATATATACTGCTTGTGCTAACTTAATGCCATGTACCTTTCATCAAGCTGTTTGTAGCATGTTGTCAGTTTTCCAAGGTCTGTGGTTAATTTGAAGATGGAAGGGTGAAGACAGAAATCTTAATATGCAAAATATATAAACAGTGTTGAATTGCTACAAATTTCTATATGCTGCAATTCATAAAACGCAGCTGGGCAAAATCCAGTTATTTCAGGGATGCAGGCCATTCATTGTAACCATCACTGTGATGGCTAAAAATCGTGATGCAGTGTTGTTTCTTTGAGTTCAAGACATATTGAAATTGTAAGATATGCTTCAAAATAGGCTGAACAGAACTTTAAAAAAGACAGGTCTGAAAACTCTGCAAAACCCCAGCCCTATTCAGAGAGCCCTGCCTACTGTGGCCCTTGTTCTTGGACACTTCTCAATCTAAAGGGAAGCTCTTGATCACCAACCACCATAACAACAATAGCAAGAGCATTTAAGAGTTATCTACTACTTCAAAGTGCTTTACAGCACTTCCTGAGCTGTTTCCAGTGTCAGCAAATTGCCCCCAAATATCTGGGTCCTCGTTTTACTGATCCTCCAGTTCCACGGCACTTGCAGGACAAGCCTCCCACAATGGCCAACCTGATCCTGGGTGAACTGGTTGGTAAATTACTTCCCACCCATTATCAAAGTGGATCCTGGGCGCTGCACTGCAATGAAGAAATGGGAAATGGAGCGGCTGGCATGGGAGAGGAGGAGGAGCAGGGAGAAGAAAGAGGGAAAGCGGCCACCTCCTTCCCTCATGCTAGCCACTCTGTTGCCCATTTCTCTATTGCAGTGCAGTGCCTAGGATCCACTTTGATGGTGTGGGTGTGTGTGAGAGGGTAATTTAACAACCGGTTCGCCCAAAGCGGTATGAAATGGCTGAATCCCACCACTGGTTTTACCTCAGAGTACAGAAGAGCAGAAAGGGTTAAAAATCCTTCGCCCACTTAGTGAAAGAGGTGTTTTCTTTTTCGTACTTCATATTACTCAGAAGTTTAGATTTTTGGAGAGTCATCTGTTGCTGAGACACTGCTCTCAGAATGACTCCCTTGATTCCTAAATTGCAACCTTACAAAAGAAAAATGTTTGTTTTAAAAGAGGATATGTGACATAGGACTTAATAAATAAAAATGAACATGGAGTGTACAGTGCATTGTTTTAACATATACATTAATTACACATTAGGTAATTGTAAGATATAGTGCCATGATGGCGGACCTATGACGTGAAACTCCCTGCGTGTGCCCCACCCCTGCTCATGCACACATGACCCCACCATGACCCCTGTGCAAGCACCCCACCCCCACACATGTGCATGTGACCCCTGCACATGCACCACCCCACCCCACGCAGGCGAGTGTGCCCCCTGTGTGTGCCCCGCTGCATGCACCCTCTACATGCACAGCAGAGACCTGAAGACCCCGTGAATTTTTTTTTTAATGTCTCAAATGACTTTCAAGAATATGAAAAAGTCAAAAAAGTTTCAAACAAAAAAGTTTCAAACAAAACCCTTTATCTTTTAAAGATTATACATCTTAATAAATACCAGTTTCATAGATAAGCATGACTATTTGGTTTTTGTGGTCTACTTCATCATAACCAGAGTAGTATCTCCATACCTTTTTTCAGATGCTGTCCTAGACAGATGTCAAAACATAATTTGCCAGTGCGACAAAGAAGCAGCTTGGTGTTGGAGATTTGCACCATTCAATAAGCGCTACATCTTCTGGCCAAATTATCTTTGTGGCCGAATATATCCTTCATGTGGCTGTAGGAATTAATAGATTCTTATAATAAACAATTTAAAACTGTTGAGTTTTTTTAATATTAGGGTCTTTTTTTGCACGTTTTTCAACCTGAAGGCTATAAGTTTCCTAATCTTTTACACTTTTCCAGCTTCTGAAATTATGAATCATACTTTGGAATTCTGCAAATATCTAAACTACCAGTTGATGGCAGCAGAGAAACCTAGCATTCCTGCCCTCTGCGGATCATCAGCCAGATACAGAGAAGCTCCATTGTTGCAGAATTATTTATTTAGAAATATATGCTGTGGAAAATGTGCATATGAACATTTAAACGTGTTACTAAATTGCATCTACCAATTTTAAGAAGCTAACATGATAAAATATATGTTTACCATATGATTCCATTCTGTTTAGAAAATCAGTATAATTTTATACAAATATCAAATCTTCTTTTAAAAAAAGGAGGAAAGTGAGAAACAATATAAAACAGCAATAGAAGTCAGTACAGTACCAAAAAAGAAAAAAAGAATTGGGACTGTCATGTAATTTCAGTGCAAAACAAAGAGAAAAGTTGCTAGTAACAATTCATTTTTCATGGGATATGGTTTTGTACAGTAAATTTAAGAAGGCTCACTAGAAACTGAACAGTTTCTGAAGGATGACAAAATAGCCAGGTACAATGTGGCACCTTCAGAATCTTTTTAACTACAGATCCCTAGCCAACCGAACCAAATGAACAATTGTCACCAATGCATCTGTCAAAACATAAACAGGAGGATGCTGATCCAAAACAAATTCATTTCTACAATTATTAGGTATATCTACCGTTATAGATTATTTAAGTTTTTATGGTCCTGTTAATCCATATGAATGACAGACACTGATGTCAGTTCAGCCCTTCAGTAGCTGACATCCTGCAATGTCCATATGACTAAGTGCATTAATGGATTTTTATATAACTTTTGTAAAGAGTCAATTTTGTGTATGTGGCTGCATTGGGCACTGTGACCATTGATGTTCTTAGAATCCTGCCGTGTTAGAAAATACCCATAATAGATCTTGTAGATAAAAGATTGGGAGGCTAGTTGACCAACATTTTTTCTCCTTTGAATTTTTCTTTGGAATAGCAGCTGGCTGGAGAGCAGGCCTGGGAGGGGGAACCTGCATTCTAAACCTCCAACTTCCAAGATATAGGCAGGAATCTGAAATAGAAATTCTAGGTAAAGCCAGTACCTAAACAGAATATCACTAGGATCCATTTTTATCTTTTATATATTTAACTGAAATATTTACTGTGAAATTAGGAAATATGAGAAGAGATACATTCGTCCTCTTGAGTTATTTATAAAAATGAATAAGGCAAGTTGTAAATAAGTACATAAATATTTCTTTCAGGCATATTTGATTTCTCACACTGGCTTTATCCAATTATAATTTGTTCCCACATGGCCTATTTCTTTCTTTAAACTTAACACTGTGTGACATTTTTTGCTATTTTATGCTGTTAATAAACTGTCATTACTATTTTAAACTTATGTTTTTTGGCAGCATTTGCATGACCACATTATATATATATCACCATTTTAATGTCAATGTGGTTTCTGTGGGTGTTACTGCTTGACTATCATGCCCAAGCCTCATCCCCTTTATGCAGAAATGAGGTTGCTTTTGTAAATTATCATAGCAATCATTGCTAATTCATAGAGGTTATCTCCCATTTTTTAGTTTACCTCGGTAAAATATCCCAGTCCTCAGCTATCAATATAGGACACAAAGTATGTACTAATACTTGGTGCTGCTAATCTATCTGTTGCAAGTTTCTAAGTGCATGCTTTAATTAGAAAAATATTTGCACACGTTTTACTCTTCAAAAAGTTTTATTCTTCTCTTCCCCACCTTTACTCCATTTGCCCTATACAATGTGTAAATAGTAACCTGCATAGTACAGAATTGACAATCCATCTATAAAAAATGCCCTGATTGCTACTGTAGTCAGAAATGCAACGGCAAGAGAGGACAAGCAAGAGAGGATAAGCGCACCAACGTGCCTACCGTCCCTGTCCTATTGTTTCTCTTATTCTTCTTTTATTTTTCTTATATGTATCCATTTCATGTATTCACAACTATGTATACACTTATACTTATTATCTTGTAAACAATTGGCAAATCAAATAAATAAAATAAAATAAATAAATACTCTGAAGAGAAGTAGTAGGGGTGCAGTTTTATTCCTTCCTCCTTCTTCTGTCCCTTTCCCCTCAGACCACTTACTTGGTTTCCCAGTCTCAGTTTTTCAAAGTCTGCAATATAATTAACTTATATTGACTAGGAGACCATTGTCCATACTGACAAATAACTGACAAGTAAGCCATTGATTAAAATTAATTAATAAAATTGTAAACTTTTTTCATACACTCATTCAATGAATAAACTTTGTATTTTTCTAAAAAAGGCATGTCATGTAAAATGATGCTAAAACATTTTAGTCCATTTTTAAAAATAAAATACATGAACAACATATAGTTTTGCTCCTATTGATTATCTATGCAACTCTTGTCATAGCTGATATTATTCTTTAGTCCATTGCTCCAAATTATGCTGAAGGGGGAAGAAAAAGAAGAAAGTAAATGAGCAGTAAAGTGAAAATAGTGACAAATAATATAAATCAATTGAAAATTATTCCAGATGTAGGATTCAATGCCAATCAAAAGGCATTGGACAGTAAGTTTGCCTTTCCTCTCTTAGTGGTTATTATAAGAGAATAGGTTGGAAAAGCAAGAAAACCAGGTATGGTGTTAATCAGAGACAAATTCAATTTCTACAGACAAAGCAAGTCAAAGCCTATCTAGAAATACCCAAAGCATTTACACGTGAATTGTCTATGTGTCTGTCTGTCTATCTATTCCTTTATCTATGCATGAACCATTAGAATCTAAGACTTGTGGTTAAGAATGTAATAGTTCTGATCAGGTCGAGGGTCTTTTCAGTTCAGCATTTTATTTCTTGCAGTGACCAACCAAAAGCATTTTAACACCTGGGACGCTAAGAACAACATGAAGATGTACCTCTCTCCAATTATTCTCTTGCACCTGATATATAAAAGTGTGCAGCCTTGATTGTAGGGTAGCACTGACTCTTCAAGACTAATAGCTCTTAAGAGACTTGTTCTCCAATTCCCTTTTAAAGTCATCCAAGTTAGTGACCATCAGCATAGATTTTGGTAATTTATTTAACAGATTAATCATGTCTTTATTCAGTTAAAGTATAGTGTCTATAGAGCCCACGTATATTTCAGCAACATATTTGAGTTGTGAAACTGAAACACTAATCCTTGGTTATTCTCCAGCAGTTATAAAAGGAAATACCTCAAAATGCATGTCATTCATGAACTAAATCTATGTCACTTTGACTGTGTTTTGAGTATTTGTATTGGTCTTCTATTCTGCTTCAAAACTTTTGCTAATATTTTATTGGCACGTTTAAAAAAATGGAATGAAAACAGTTGCAATAACAAAAGAAACCATTCAAAATGTTTTTTAATATGCAGCATACTTTTAGAGTTATTTTCTTTGGGGACTAAATACAGAATAACATGAAAAGATCTTGAATACAAATGCCTTCACAGCAGGCTTCAAACTCCTCTACAGAGCTCATCATGATTTTGCAGAAGTGTAGCTCCTTTGACAGAAGGATGTTAACATGCCTGGAGAAGCTCCTAGCCAGAAGATGCTAGCACATTTCCATAAATCCAGTCATTGCTGATTGTAAATTGTGCAATATGCTTTAATTGGCTGTTATTTAGTCAATAAACCACAGTTAAACAATGGGTAATCCTGCTCTATGAGTCCCATCCTTTCCAGATATTTAAGATTATTTAAGATTATTTAAGATGCAGCTTTGAGCCTTTTTCCCATTAGTCATTTATTTTCTAGCTTCACCCAGCCATCACTAAGGAAAAATAATACCTGTCTTCACTAGTGTTATTATATTGACACAATTATGGTTGGATGATTTTATAAGTGAATAGGAAAAAATGGTCTTGGCACAGTGATTTTAGCATTTAATTCTTCAGTACAAGTTATTTTTTTTATTTGTGGCTTGGGTGCTATGCAGAATATCCAGGCTTTCTCCTCCTAATATTAAGGGTATTATATCAGAATGCTTTTCTTTTTAATTGCAATATGTGTGCTAGATAGTCAACAATTTAAAAATGCATGCAAACTGGTATGAAATGTATCTCCCCCCATCATATAAATGAGATACAGATACACACAGAAACAGAAAGAGAAGCAATTGCAACTAACTTAAAATCAAATTTAGAACATAATAAAATAAACAGATTATAATCTACTCTTATATATAAATCAAAGGTAGTTATCTTTGGAGTGGGGAGAACTTTAAAATGTTGGGATCTTCTGGAATGTTATGGATGCTCTCTTAAAATGGCTGCTATGGAGAATATTTTCTGTTCCTTAGAAGCTATCATATTGGGGTGCTCCGTTACAAAATACCCATGTTGTTCTCTACCTCTCTATTTTATTCTTAGCTTTTAATTTTTTTTTATTTCTTTGGCAGATGAACACATTTCAAAACAATTTTTTTAAAAAAATTATGAATCTTCCAATTTATTGTGTTATTTATCTGTTAGTGTTCCATCCCAATTTCAAAACTGCCATCCCAATTTCTTATTAATTTTTCCCTTATTATTTTTTCTCAGAATAACAGCCAGGTGGAATGGGGGGGAGGGGAGAGAGAGAGAGAGAGAGAGAGAGAATCATAGTGAGAACTTCAATGGCAGAGAATCTGTTGGAATTTGGGTTTCTTGAGTTCAATTCCCATATAAGTGCACATAGTTCAATTTAATTAAACCATGCCCCCCTCTAGAGCAACTTTTGATCAGGGTATTTTCCTATACATGTTTAAAATAACATTATTTCAACTTGGGAAATGTCTAAATGTCCTAAGGGAAGTAGAAGGAGCAGATGGCAATCCAGGCTAGAGAAGAGATATTGACCCTTAAAGTAAACCCAGCCATATTTACTGCTGGATCCTGATTACCTGGTCTTTTCCTTGCTGGCTGATAATTGGAAAGGTGATAGCAACAAAGCCAGAGCAAGGAAACCAATCACTTTGGTTATAATTAGAATCACATTTACAAAACAGGATAAACGTTTCAGAATACAGATGGTAAAGGGATTGGCAAGGAGCATGGAAATTGATATGCTGGCTTTATTTATATAAACACATGGATGGGGAGATAGGACATCAGCTCAGCAGAGAGGAAATTCCATAAATAATATTGGTTTGGATAAATAAATAGACTAACCAGGGAAATGCATCTTCCTATATTTTAGTATTCATTATGACTTCACACGAAAGATATCATATACTAGAGATTAATCTTACACTTAGATTGTTATAACTGGGCAAAATATCTTTAGGAAACAACAGAAATATGTTTACACAACTTTTTTAGGTGACAATTTTGAACAAGCTAAAAAAAAGTGCTTGACCACACGGATGCCCTGCATTTATTAGAATTGCATACATTTAATTTATTAAATGATCATGCATTTCATACTCTACCTTGAGGAGCTGTTGCTTTAGCACATGGAAGACACTTTCTCAGTCGAGGAGTTAAGATTACAATCAGAACTATCAGGCCTCCAATACCAGCAGCCACCACACCAATGATTGTTCCAATGGATTCTTCTATATCAAGCCAACCTAAAGGGAAATCCATGCCCTAGTCAGAAATGTACTGTATTCAACATAAAACACTACAGGAGAGTCTACATGGAAAAATGTTGCTACTGTAAATGTTTCTGTGGGATCATCTTGAGCCTATCACTACAGGAACTTGATTAAAAATTAAAAGTATCATTTCGTTCGAGCTTTGATGTTTATTTATATGTAGAAGAAGTTAATGCATCCTGCCAGCACTGACCTACCAAATTAGGACAGTCCAGAGTGAATCCACAGTTAATGCTTTCATTAGTATTCATTACCACCATTTTTTCTTCCCTGCCAACCAAAAAAAAAAAAAAAGGAGCAATGCTAAAGGAAAAAAAATGGCTGCCCCCTTTTGCTAATTAAAACAAAAACAGGCCTTTTTCTTAGCTTCCTTACAAGGTTATTATAGGGGAAAAATAGGAAGAGATATGCTTCCTTAGCTCATAAATGAAAAGTAGGATATGTAGTTAATCAATCAATAAAACCAATTTAAATCCAGCAACTGGTGGTCAACTTAAAAAGGTCTAAGCCATCTGAGGCCTAGGGATATGAAGCATATCATTGTAACCCCCAAGATACAAACTGGCACCAACGTGTCTTCTTAATATAGTACTTAATTGTTTAATGGTTGATTAGAAAACACACAACAGCAAACAGAAATGTAAATGGGATGACATTTCATGAACATAATTTGGCTTCTAATATCGTATATACTCAAAAATAATGACTGTTAATCCAAAATAATTTCAGAGAAAAGAGGTGCCAAAGGAAATAGGCTAACCTTGAGTACTTCAAAAATAAAATAACACACTCTTTAGATGGCTACTTACTGAATCTGCGTAAATTTGGTTTTCTTTCCTAAATACAGATTCCGTCTTAGAATCTTTTCTTCCAGGCATGCTGCTCCCATGAAGCCTCCAAGAATAAAAGCCTCTAGTAAACTCTTTCCTGAGTATTTAACCTCAAAGGTGGGACTCATTGTATTCCTTGAGAATTTAGCCATTTGGTCCTTAAAACTTCCTTATTACTCTAAGAAAGCTCTACTTTGGATTGCCATAGAAGTCCAGTTAGAAGTTTCAATTAGTGTAGAATATGGCTGCCATGCAGTCATTAGAACTACCTAATATAGCCACAGATCTGGTTACAGGAAATAACAAGTCTAAAGATAGTACCCAAACCTGAAATGTTTTTATTAGGGATAACCAAAGGAGAATATACAAAAAAGAATTAATGTCTAATGATACACATCTTAACAGGACACTATATGCTCAAACTTGGAAATTAGATAGTACACCCACAGATGACATTATTATAAAAAAAAGTAATGGATTGCGCAGAAATGAACAAATTCACAATGGAATTGCAGGAGAGGGAAGATAAAGAATTCTATTTGGCCTAGGAAAAATGGTATGTCTAGTTAGAAAATAGAAAGAAAATATAATGCAAAGGTAGAAGCTTTAAAATGTAATTGTAAATAGTATATGTGTGTGTGTGTGTGTATGTGTGTGTGTATGAATGAATGAATGAATTTATGTATGTATGCACAGTATGTCTGTATGTATAGGAGAATGGTATAACTGATGTCACAAATAACTGCAAAAATGTATACAGAACATGTTTTTTTAAAGGTGAAAATTTAATAAATTTTATATTTTTTTAAAAAGAACTACCTAATATAGCCATGTAATGCAATATTGCAGAAACATCTTTGGCTGACTATTAGATTCTGTGTGCAATTCAAGATACTTATGAAAGGGCTAGTCATTTCCAAACTTTTTTCTCCAAATAAAATCATAATTTTCAAGAAGTTGTTGAAAGCCTAGATTTTTCAAACAGCTTTCAGGAAGGAACAGCAAATACTGTATGTAAGGTATAGGATTGTGCTATCATTATATATGTATTTTATTGAATTTTGTTACAGATATATTTATAATAGAGGTGTGTTAAAACATTTGAGTTTTTGACAATTTTGTATTTGTTATGTTGATTGTTTTTTTTTTTTTGCTGAAAGCTACTTAGAGTCCAAAGAGTTGATATAATATAAGACATTATAGTATAAAAGAGAAGCTTACTTGGCTAGTGGTTCTTGTTACAATGTGTAACATTTATTTATATTTTTGAGCACTTAAACGTGCCCAGTTGACACAATAAAGCTTCTGTATAGCTTTGACATGGAAAGAGTGTGAAAGGAAGGCATTTGAAATATAAAGCACTGGTATGTCTACTATTCTTCCTTTTGCGGTCCTTATTCTTACCATTTCTAAGGCATATGGTATGATGATAATACTGTAGAAGAAAGACGAAAAAGGAAAAAAGAGGCAAGAAGACAGACGAAGAAAGAAAATCAGAAATAGAATAAAATAGCCAATCAGGCAGCAGCTGAATGACAGCATACAAAAGCAGAGAACTTTGATAGTGATAAAGCAGCAGAAGAGGATATCAAATAAACTCTGTGACTAAGATAACACAGCCACCAAAGACACAAGAATTGAAAGTTCATTAAGTGGTCCACAGATATTGGCATAATCGGATCACCTAGGTGCTAGCATTTGCAGCGGAGCCCAGGTTGTGGTGAGAATTTCCCAGAAGTCCTGAGTGCTAATATCTGGCCTCCAGAAACAGGCAGTGAAGGACCAATGGAAGATAGACTACAGCAGCAGCCAGTAACAGGCCCTTTGGCAGTCACAAATGAACTACAGTCTTCCAGGAGCAATTAGGAATGATGTCAACTCTACCCAGTAGCCAGCAGAACAAAAGCCATGTAAATGACTATAAGGGGCTGTGGGTTTAGGAGTTGCATGCATAAATCTGAAGTTCTATTGGGCTTAAAGAAAAAGGGTCAAACAAAGCAAAACGGTGAACTAGAAGTAAATAAGAAAAGCATAGAGAAAAACATAGGCCAAAGGAAATACAGATAATCCTCAATTTACAACAGTTCATTTAGTGATCTTTCAAAGTTACAATGGCACTGAAAAAAGTGACTTATGATCATTTTTCACACGTATGACCGTTGCAGCATCTCCATGGTCATGTGATTTACATTCAGATGCTCGACAACTGGTTCACATTTATGACGGTTGCAGTGTCCCCGAGTCATGTGATCCCCTTTTGCAACCTCCTGACAAGCAAAGTCAGTGGGGAAACCAGATTCACTTAACAACAATGTTACTAATTTAAGAATTGCAGTGATGCACTTAACAAATGTGGCAAGAAAAGTTGTAAAATGGGGCAAAACTCACTTAAATTTCTCACTTAGCAACATAAATTTTGGGCACAGTTATGATCCTAAGTTGAGGACTACCTGTAATTAATCAGACTGAATTAGTCGAGAGAGTAAAAATATCGTTCATGTAATAAAAAGAAGCAACATTCTTTTGATTATAAATAAATCTTTACTATGTGATATGTGTAAGAAAAATCATATTTAGAATTGCATGTGTCCCTGCCTTTGATGGGTGCCATCTCATAAGCTGAACCTATAACAGAGAGATTTGCAGTTTTAATCTATTTTGCCTTTAGATATAATAGCAGACATTACAGTGTTCCACATGCTTCTCCTGTCCAGCTACTAACCTTGTCAGATCTTTTGATTAGTGGCAAGCAATCTCATTAGCTTGATCAAAGGCACTAATCTTTTTGGAAAGTACCTGCTGTCTCATAAATACCACAATCTTATATCACAAGATTACTGCCAAATCTTTACCACATCAGAAGCCCTCTTCTCATTGGTCAGGAACACAACTGACAAACTCACCTTGGATTAATCATTTGAATTTCTACATGTTCTAAAAGTAGAACATGTAGAATATGTAGGCATGTTCTAATCTACATGGCCAAACTTTTGCTCCCAAATCAGGACTGAAATTGGGATACTTCTATTGATTTGTAATTCAGTTATTTCTGTGGATTACAGCTGTGGTAATCAGATCTGGTTGCAAAACTCCAGTTCAGAACATAGCAGCAAAGCAGTTAGTTTTTGCAATCCTTAGCTCGTCATCTAATTGTCACAAGATTTTTGCAGTTCAGATCTATTAGCCCTACTGATAGACTATAACTATAATTGCACGTCATCTTTCTCTTGAAGTCCTCCATGGTGTTAGACATATGGATATTTTTAATGGAAAAATTGCTTTCAAAATTATTCACAGCTGAAAATGACCACTAATTTGAAAATAGACAGGTTTTAAAATATTATCTCTTTGTAAGTTTTCAGTTATGCCAGTTTCCAAGCTGTTTCTGGTTTGAAACACTTAGAACTTTTAACTGACTCATGCAGTTGAGGTGAGAACTTTAAGTTTAAAATATCTTCCTTTACTTTGAATGTGGTTTCAGTTTCTTCCTGAAACTGAAGGCAGTTTACAAACAACCAAAACTGTATTTTATGAAACTAAGGAAGATTTTTTAAATTTAGTAACCAGTAGCAATATAGCCCATACCTCCTTAGATCCAAACCTTCTGTGTAATTGTCACATCTTAAGTGAGTCCAGGGGATTCCAAACCTCAGTAAATAAGATATTGCAGAATGGGGGGGCTACCACCAAGAAGGCCTAACCTCCAAGTCCCATCCCCTTAACTCATGTGATTTCAGGATTCTCGCTGAACCTTTTTTCAAGAACTCCAAATCTTTTCAGAAGGGATGGTCCTACAACCAAGTCATTTAGGGTATTAAAGATAAAAACTGGTGCTCTTAATTTTACCTAGAGCAAACTCGTAGCCAGCACAATGACCACAGCATTAGTTATGTGATCAAATCTGCTACCACCAGCAGGATGCTGCACTTTTAATCAACTGAACCTTTGTTCACAACTTCAGAGGCAACACAAAGTAGAGCTTACATGGTTTTCAGTTTTGTGTTTGCATTGTTCTCTTGCTTATTTATTGTAAAGCCTTAAAAACTTCGTTACAGAAAAATAAATATTACCCAAATATGCTGTTATTTTGTATTCTGATTATCTAGTAGTCTACCAGATCTTTTCCAGCCCAGAACTATAGTCCGAGTGTTAATGCCTGGATTTACACATTGTGATTTTTTTTAATATGGTTTAAGTCAGGGGTGTCCAACCTTGGCAACTTTAAGACTTGTGGACTTCAACTCCCAGAATTCCTCAGCCAGCTGGCTGAGGA